AAGAAGAGAGCGGGCGGGGTATAAATATAATGGTCGGGGGGAAGCGGGGGATGAGGGGCGGGGCCTTAGGGACGAGGGCGGAGTTGGTGAGGAGGGGCGTGGTCAGGAGAGGATAAGCTGGGCGAAGACCGCCCCCGAGCCTGGGACTTTAGAGGGACGCGGGTGGACCTGTAGGGAGGACCCTGGCCCGGGGCTGCAGAAGGACTCGGCCGGGAGCTGTGAAGACCGCCGGCCCGGCCCTGTTTGCCAGAATTCAGAGGAAACTGAGCCCGGCTTCGTTTCTCCAAAAGCCTCGAAAGAGGCCAGAGCACCTTGCAGGAAGCCACAAGAGCCTCGGAAGGGAGGGTCTGGACCTTCCACAGCCCCATCTGCCTCAGCCCCCGCCCCGCCCTCGGCTCTAGGCCCGACCAAATGTGTTGTCCTCACTGCGCGTCCGGCTGTTCCTCAGCCCTCCATCACCCCACTGGGCCTCCCCTCGGCGAAATTAGGTTGCTTCTACCGAACTTCCCGGCCCCGTGCCCTCGCGCTCCTCTCCTCGACCCTGGCCCTACTAACCGGGTCTCCACACACTTTTAACGGCGAGGTCTGTGAAGGTCCGCCTACCTCTGAAGCACTCTGCCCTCTTCTGTGGTAAATACAAATAAGCCTATGGCCTAGGCTATGTCGTATGTCTAGGTGGGTAAATAAGACAAGTGTGCCTAAGAACTAAGGGCAGTTTGTGAAATGCTCTACCAACGGGCGCAGAGCTCGGGTGGTTGAGCACAGGTCCTGGCAGAGCTTTGAGAGATGGTTAGATTGGTCTTTCATAGGACTCGGGAATTGACCCCATCTCAGACCCCAGAACGTTTGCTCGGATAAGGCTGTTGGCCCGTGCATTCCAAATCCCAAAGCCCATCCGCGGACCTGCTCAAGCACTGTCGTGGGGCAGAGTTTGAGAGCATGGGTCCTGCACACAGGCAGCCGCTCCAGGCCGGGATATCTGGGCAACTACCTAGCCCTGCCTCAACCAGGATAATAATACCACTGCCCACCAGGGCATGGTGGACAGAATCTTACACTAGGATCTGTCCCTCTCACTACACTGGGACAACCCCAGGGACACGATTAGCCCAGCAGTACATTTCCCAAAATGGATGTATTAGGTCTAGAATAACACCAGGAGCCTCAGATGAAAGGGGCTTTGCACTCGCTCTGATACCCTCCAGCAGGAGAATGCGGCAGGACCCCTCCTCCTGGTGCCCTTCCACTCTCTAGGGATGAGCCTTGGGTGGGATGAGCACCAAAATCCGTTTTAGAGAAGAGAAGCATGTCCCCAAAGGTGTCCTATGTGCCCATGTTCCTGCCCCCCCCCCAGAAGGACTCTGCACATACCAGGCAAGCAACTTCTGTTCCCCTTTTTACCTCTGCTGACTTGCAGGTGTTGCCCAGGAGCCTAGTTGTGCATAGGAAGCTGGCAGATTTCAGTGTCTTTCCAAATAAGAGTCTTCCAGCTCCGTGGCCTCCTTTGAGTACAGAAACACTCAGAAAATCTTTGAAGTTAAAGTTCTTTACCTTGGGCCAAATGTACTTCTAAGTCAAGGCAAAAGACAAGTGGCAAAATACGGGAGAATATTGCCAATTCCCCCCAAAAACAAATCTCTTTAGTATATAAAGAACTCTTTACAATTCGATATGGAAAAGACCAAAATAGAAAACTGGGCAAAGGCTACAAAAATATGATTCACTGAAAAAAAACTATAAATGTAAGCAGCTCTTTGCAGGAAACCGCCCTCGGCAGGAAATCCCTTTTTGACTTGTCACTAACCTTAAACCAGGCGCCCCCATGCCCTACTCTTCTGTGGCCCAAGCACAACTTTCACATCTTTTTATCACACAATACGTAGCTTAACCTGTTGGTTCTTTCCATAGATCAAAAAAGTAGGAGTGAAGAATCAGTAACTGACAGATGACCAGATCTCTTCCCAAGTGTAATCCTTCAGTAATCTCAAGAACAATATGAGTGAACAAGACAGCATCCAAAGTGATCAGGACACAGTGGAGGGTGGCAATGACTCTGAACCCCCATTTCAACCATTACTCACCATGTTTTTTAATCTTCTTATTTAATTTTTTTAATGGAGGTACTGGGGATTGGACCCCGGACCTCCTGTATGCTAAGTATGTGCTCTGCCACTGAGCTATACCCTCCCTTCTCAATGATGAACTGAGATCATTTTACCTTTTCCCTTTAAAACTTTCATGGCTGAGCAGAATCTTCGGAGATGGTTTTTGGGAGACACTGAGTCCACCATCTCCCAAGATTGCCGGCATTCTGATTGAAGGCAAGCTTCTTTTCTACCAACATTTGTCTCTCTTGAGTATTGATTTTTGAATGGCGAGCAGCTGGACCCAAGTTCAGTGACAAAAATGGTTCATAAACATACAAAAAATTACTAACCTTATGCATGATGAGATACTAAATATACATTAAAACTACACCAAAACACCACTTTTTACCTCTCAGCTGAAAAAAGTTGATCCATTGCTATGAAGGCAAGGTTATGTAGACTGAGCACCCTTGTACCTTACATGTGGGAGGTTAAGTTGGTGCCACTCCTAGAGAGCAGTATAGCAGTATCTATCAAAATGAAAATACATATGCTCTTTGACCCAATAATTCAACTTTTATTATTCTCACCGTATTTTATAACCTGCCTCCTTTCTGTTACTCCTAATACCGACATTTAGTGGCTTGGAGTGCAATGTTTTGAGATGAAGATTTCTTCTTAATTTGTGTTTTGGTTGCTATGGGTTTTGTGGTGATAAAGAATCATAGAATTTCTGCCTAACTGATTTTACTTCTGATGGAGTAAAACCAGAAAATTCTTAAACATCCATTGCATGATGGTGAAATTTAACACTGAATGTTATCAATTCTTACTAGAAAAATGAAAGGAAGTGGGAAGTGTGGGCAATTCAGCTTTATTTATTGCTGCTTGGATCAGAACAATATACATGCATTGGGTTAAGTTGTGTGGTAAACTAATTTTTTTATAGTTGGGGAAATGGATTTAAAAAGAAATCAATTTCTTTCTTGCTTTCCCTATTTATAATTGGGAATTTCTGTGGAGTGGTTATAAACTGGAAAGTTTGGGGAATTTGAATGATGACTCACATTCTCAGGCTGGTAGGTTTTCATCTTTACTGATATTTGGAGACATGGTCATTTTATTCAGCATCTTGGTTGAGTGAGAACATGGAAGAAACAGGAAACAAGCAGATGGAGAGGGAGCTTTGTTCCCATCTGACTGAGAATACAAAATTTCAGTCACACTTGAAGATGGTGGAAGCTGAAAGAAGTTATGAAAAGATCAGATAAGAGAGTTACTCTGATTCTCAGGAAACATGGGCTGGGAGGGTGGATCTCAGGTACGTGGCTGGCTCACCTGTGCCTCGGGTAGAATCATTCTAGAAACATGTGGTCCTCATGTTTTGTATCCTGGTCTCAAATATTTAACATAAATATTCTATCTGTTGCCCAAAAGACACACAGGCAATGTGCTAACTTTGAAAAGAAAAGAAAAAAAAATAAGGTTGGGATAATGAAGTAAATAAAACTGTGGTATTAATTGTGTTGGACTAAGGTCCAGATAATCTATCTGTGTTCTATTGTTTAACCCATTTTTAGTGTTGAAAAGAGTTCTATATATAATACTAGTATTGTGATTTTGAATTTAAGGGTGGGTGAAAACTAAGATGAACATGGAGGTAAGAAAGTAGCTAACCATCACTGTAGGCTTATGGTTTGAGAAACTTCTATGGAATGTGAGAATAATTTACTATTTTTCTAACTTAATTCTAGATAACTTATAAGTTGTGTATTATACAGGACAATAAAATGATAAAATCAGAAATTTTCACAATCCCTGTTTTCTAAGTAAAACCTATTGCCTCAAACTTTGGGGAATGTTTAATTCAACAGGTTTATTTTCTTTCATCACATTAAAGATGCCATTCCATTGTTTTCTGGTTTTATGGCTTCTGAAGTCAGCTGACAATCTTTGAAGGTAATGTGTACATATATATTCTTCTAGACCCTCAAGGTTTTATCTTTATCTCTCGTTTTCAGCAATCCTGCTGTGATATGCTGGGTGTAGCTGGCTTTGTTTATCTTGCTTAAGAGTCATAGCATGTCTTGAATCTATGATTTGATGACTCTCATCAGTTTTGGGAAACTCTTGGCTGTTATCTGCTCCAGTATTGCCCCATTCTCTCCCTTTTTCTGGGAAACCGATTACACATATGTTTCATCTTTTCATAGCCTCGCACAAGTCTCTGAAGCTTGTTTGCGTATTTTTCCGTTCTTTCCTTCTGTGCTTCAGTTTGGATGTTGATTTGTCCCCAGTTCACTAATCCTGTCTTCTGTGTCTAATATACTGAGTTCGTAATTTTATTTATTATACTTTTTAGCTCTGTGGTTTCCATTTGATTTATTTTTCCAGATTTCAATACTCAAGAAAATTCT